AAAAAAAAAGAGGGAAAAAAAAAAAAAAAAGAGAAAAAAAAAAGAAAAGAGAAAACACTAGACAAAAAAAAAAAAAAAAAAAAAAAAAAAAAAAAAAAAAAAAAAAAAAAAAGAAGAGAAAAAAAAACAATATTCGAATTAAACTCTCTGTAATCCCAAAACACAAGAAGCGATCATCATCTAGAATTAAACATACTATGTGACTCGCCATTAACAAACCAAAACATTATTATTATAATATCAAGCCTCATCTTTTATATGAAATTGAATCAGATATTTCAGGCCAACTCATGCAACCTTCGGAGTAAAGACACAAATCTCAAAGCATATCATGCCTCTCAGCCTTATCTTGTATACACTGTTTATGATGCAAGGACATTAGTTATTTGATCAATTGTAGTTACGTTCGTTTTTGGAAGTTAGAATCAGCGACACATACAGAATCTTCATACACACCTGTTGCCCAAGTATCGTTGCGCAGGATAAAACACCTTGTGTCAGATAAATTCATACACCTCAGCCATATTTTATAAATAGAATTGAATTTAACTTACAACACAAGAACATTAGTCATTTATTTGATCAATTGTAGTTAGGTCAATGGACATTCGTTATTGAAAGCTAGCATAAGAGATGAATACAAGATCTTCTTATGCACCTTGGCTCAAGTATCGTAAAGCATTATGCACAGGAGAAAACACACTTTGTATCAGTTAGGTCAATGGACGTTCGTTATTGAAAGCTAGCATAAAAGATGAATACAAGATCTTCTTACGCACCTTGGCTCAAGTATCGTAAAGCATTATGCACAGGAGAAAACACACTTTGCATCAGATAGATCTATACAAATTCGGGTAGACTGAATCGAATTTAGCTTACAACACAAGAACATTAGTCATTTATTTGATCAATTGTAGTTAGGTCAATGGATGCTCGTTATTGAAAGCTAGCATAAGAGATGAATACAAGATCTTCTTACGCACCTTGGCTCAAGTATCGTAAAGCATTATGCACAGGAGAAAACACACTTTGTATCAGATAGATCTATACAAATTCGTGTAGACTGAATCGAATTTAGCTTACAACACAAGAACATTAGTTATTTACTTGCTCGTCCGCAGTTTGGGCAATAGACTCGTTATTAACGCTGGAATTAGAGCATTAAGGTCACATATAGCTTTCTCTCTCACATTTCATCGTTCAGATGTCGTAAGGTGTTATTCGCAGGATGAAAATACTCTGATAACTAGGCCATGAATATATTTTACGGATTGGCATGAATTGACGCACAACACGACCCCACTCAATATTTCTTCCACTACACAGTTGTTCCTTGTTACACTATCAGCAGACGTACAATGCAGGGCATAAAAGCAAAATAGGATAATACATCGTATATAAAAAAAAAAAAAAAGGAGGGGGGAACCCCCCCCAAAAAAAAGAGAAAAGTCACCAATGTCAGACTGTCGAGGCAAATTGTTGAATGCCTATAGCCTCAAACCCAATACTCATAAAATAGCGGCACATATCGGATAGAAAGAGCATTGGCAGATATTCGGTGCAATGGAAATTGATGATCTGTAGATTAGAAAAAAAAAAAAAGAGAGAGAACGATAGTAGAAGATATGAGTTACTAAAACACTACACCAAGCAGACATATCTTGCATAATAAAATAGGCTTCAATGTCAACCTCCATAGATCTTTATAATCATAATCCTAAACAAAAAGAAACACTAGTGAACTCCATCCCCCCAGAAATGATATTATAGTATATTCAAGCTCTCAACAAATATATATATATATTTAAAGAAAGATTTAAGCATTAGCAATCGCACCCTGCAAACACTATATTATTCATGTGAACTATAGTAGCAACAATTTTGAAGAAAAGCAAGAAACTAGGCAATAGCGCTCTACAAAACACCATGCTAAGCTCCTCTGGATCTTGGACATCCTAGAGCTCAGTGAATAACTCTAGGTCAGAAGGATTATAAGATCGCATAACGACATAATAGTAATTTGGAAATGATCCAGAATATCAAAAGCCGTTATAACAAATCCTGTCAAGCAGGTTACCTATGTATGAAAGAGCCTTTAAACAAAGAATGAACTGATGTATATCCGTGGACAACTCGCACACAACTGCCAGACCGATAACTCTTCAATACTTAGCTGAACCATAGTCGCAAACAAATTAAATCAATCATAGTAGACAATAAATTATGGCAAAGAGATCAACTGTTATCCCCAAGGTCAAATATGATACATCCTAAAGGAGTATCTTGTCAATTTATTACCCACATGCATCACATGCATGAAAATTGCACCCACTCTTATCACACACATTAGCACTGAACACCACAAATGAACAGCCTTAGCTGAAATGAAGTATGCAATAAGGAGAGTTGTGGATAGTATGGAATATAAGTCTGATAGTTGCTGACCCCACCTTCCACGATACTATGTAATATCTGCAACTCCCATAATCGGCTAAGTGGGCAGTCATTGGAAGCCATCAATAAAACCATGTTCACAACTTGCCAATCAAGGAACATTACAAGTGACTGCCTTGAACTAGAAAAGCAAACTGAATACGGGTGAACCAGGTGATAAACTATCTAGGACAAGCTTCATAGCCCTGTCTACTCAAGTAACCTGCATTCCAAAATACAAGAAGATAAAAATAAAGTGTTGTCTTCCAGGCCCATTGTTAAAAAAAAAAAAAAAAAAGGGAAAAGAAGAAATAACTACAATTCGTCATCATACAATCTGTGCAAAGCAAAAAAAAAAAAAAAAACAGACAAACAAACAAAACAGATGAACATTTATTTCTTATTATTGGTCTAGAAGACAATGATAACATCTGGCGGGCTCCTTGAAACATACGTATACAGTTCAAAGATCCAGTCTAACAATCAGGCACATGAGAGTTTATTTTTTCACCAGGGCCAATGGATCTCGGGCAACCAAACATCACTTATCAGTAGGCTCACATCAGACGTTACATCACCTGCTACAGTTCTAGAGCCAGAGATACAACAAAGCTTGCATCGTCAGGCCAATTATACCTGTCCAAAGGAATTGGTATATGGAACTCGGAGTCCCACAAGTAACCCGTCCAGCTAAACTAGCAGCAACATAAGAAAGCATACCGTAATTAGCTGCCCTCACATTAACACATTATTGGCACCTTCGAGCACCCAATTATACCATGCCAATACTATGATAAGATTTATTTCTGCCCCAGAATGACAAGAAACTGAAACCCGTTAATAGCCTCGAGCAAATATGAGCAACATGAAACAGTCAAAAAATAAACAAATAAGCAATACCAACAACAGCGCACATAAGCATTCACATCCTTCAACAAGGTGTCAAATAACTATACACAAACGTCTCTGTTAAGCAATAATCAGCCAACAAACCAATAAGATTTAGCCAAACAACCAATATATTGACAACACAAACGCGTATCAAAGCGAGCCAAGCAATGGCCCTAATCATGCACCACTCCAATCTATGCATAGGCAAATGGCAAAATCAGGGACATCTGAATTTTTGGAACACTCTCCTGATTCTGCCATTTTCCTATTTAACAGCCGGCCTGCTTCGAGCAGGCGGGAAACCACCGGCTGATGCTGCTTCTCACTCATTCTACTGTTACGATGATACCTGGGCGCAATCTCACTTGCTAATTTTCCCGGGAGCATATCATCGTTTCAGTTCAAATTACTCAGCTCAAATTACTCAGTTCAAATTACTCAAAATGTATTCTGTGGACTTAAAGTCCTTTAATTGAATTTATTTCCGGCACCTTTGGCGTGCCGGCATTCTTCCAATAACATGACTAATCGTATCTATGCTTTTCGTACATGTTGACAAAAAGTCAACAGATCGAAAAGACAGAGGAGAGTGGTCAGGGTTACATGCCACGTGCTTTAACTCTGCCCGATAATGGGAGTTGGGAACCGAAAACAATTCGATTTATCATGCAAACGCAGCTACGTAATAGAGAAGAAACATCAGACCATATCGATTTTTCATGCGAACACAGCTACGTAACAGAAAGAGACATCAGACCATATCAGTCACACGATATGTCACATGTAAAATTTTTAATTATAGGTCAAATGATTGACGCACCTAAATTTCATATGTAAAATTTAGGCAAATTTTGCTTTCTTAGCTTATTTAGCAAGAAGAAGCTATCAGTCAAATTTCTGGGTCTGAGTTTGCAACTTCTTTAGCATTTGAAGGTTCTTCTTGTAAAATTTTAAAGATTGTTTATAATAAAATTGAAAAAAATCATGGCCACAAAGTTGGCCAATTTTTTGATGATTTTTCTGTTTGTTTATAAGAGTTTTATAAGTGATGCAGGCTAAGGTCAAGTTTGAAGTGGCCGGATTGGTGTTACCAGTTTTTCTAGATAAGGGTAAGATCCTTATATTCAGTCATTAAGAATTTAATTGTTACAAGTGTAACTTGGAGTTCATTTGTTTGTCGTATCTTTATCTGGTACACTTGTCTGTTATTGTTGTACTTGAGATTATAATAATAGTATTGTCTTTTTAATTTGTCCAATATATTATCAGGTAATTTTGAAAGGTTGATTACTTTTGGATATTTTTCCAGTATTGTTGTGACTTTGGTTCTATCTTTCTTTTCAAAGATAGTTAAATACTTAAATCCCATATAGAGATGATCAAAGTTCATGAGTTGTTTTTCTATTCGTTTTAATGGTGCTATTTGTTTTTGAACTATGGTTTTGAATATCTATCCTCTTTTGATTTGTTTTGCAGTTATTGTTTCTTTATACATCATAATTTCTTCATATTCTTCTATTGTCAATGGTGTTAGCTCCTCTTCTTCTGATTCAGAGTCTATTCTTTCAAATAATTGGGCAAATGTTTTCTTCAGATTTATTATTCTATATTGATGTATGATTTTAATTTGGTTTACATATTCTAGTATAGAGTAGTCTTCAATTCTTTTGAATATGTACAAAAGGTTTTGTAATATCATAGGTATAAGAGGTATCTGTTGTTCTTCTATTTGTTTTAAAGAATAAAGTTTCCATGGTCCTAAGGTTTCTGGTTTAGTATTTTAGGCATTTCTTCATCATTTAATCGAAAGATAAATAGTTCTAATGTTATGAAATATTTTGCTTGTTTGGGTTTACAGCCTGTTGCAATCTATTCTTCTGTTAAAAAATATGAGTTCTCTTGGATTTTAATTAGATTGTTATTTTTTATTACTAATTCTGATACTTCAAATATTTCTCTCAGGGCTATTACTTTTATAATTTCTTTAGGTATCCTGTTTTGGTCTAGTTTTCCTTTTCTGCTCATTCGTTAAATGTTTTATAGAATTTTTTGTTTAGGTTGATCCATTCTGCTAATAAAATGTATATTTCTTCTTCTACTATTGTAAATCCTATTGCTTGGGTTATTATTCTGTTTGGTAATTGATATGGGTTGTGTAAGAATACTTGTTTATTAAGATATGCTAGGAGTTCCAGATTTGAGTATATTTCTAAGTCATTTTGTGGCTGGTCCTTCAAGTTCTATCTTTTCTCATATTGGTTTAATTCTAGGTTCAATAGTTCTCCAGTATTCACATTCTCGCTCCCAAGTTTTTGCATGATAATTTTGAATTTTTTCAAGTTTGTACTTTTGATTTCCAATATTCTCTACTTATGCTTATTCCTGTTCTTTTTTTGTAAACTTCTTCTAAATAGCATTTATAGCTTTCTTGTCTACACTGTCTTTAAATTCTTCAAAGGGTTTTCCAATATATGCACTTATGTCTTGATCATATTGCCAGTTAATTGTTTTCTGAATATTTCTTATTTTTGTTGCTATCCAGAGATAGTCATTATTTTTGTAACAATTATACACTATCAAGGTTTTTTGTTTTAAGGTTATACTTTTATAAATTACTTCTTCAAGTACTGATTCTAAGTTGTGTATTAATAATTTCAGTAATTTTAAGGATTGGTCAGTTGTTAATTTTTTAGGTATTATTTGTTGTTCTACTTCATGTAGTTTGCTATTAAAGCAATAATATTCTTCAAATAACAGTTCTGGGTTTGGATATTTACAATGAGTCATTTAGTTTTTCCAGTATTTTTTATGTTCTTCTTTTATTTCCTTAACCATGTTTTTATTAAATGCTCTTTCTACTAAGAATCCTACTATAATATGGTAAATTTGTCCTGCTTGTATAGCTAATTCTCTTTGAAAAGTTTCTCTTTGATTTTCTGCATTTTGTTCTTTTGTATATACCCAGAAATATTCTGAGAAATTTATATCTTTGAATTCTGATGTGAAGTTGTTGATCAAATAGTCAAGTTTTTTTAAAGTATTTATTAAGAAGAAAATAAAGCTAGTTTCTTTTCTTTTTAGAAACAGAAAGCTTAATGTGTGTCCTGTTCCTTTTGCTTTTTCTCATAATATTTTCTCATAGAATTCTTCTTCTATGTCCTTATAAATTGGTCTTAAATTGTTCCTTGTTTCTTCTTCAGTTGCTTCATAATATTCTTTTTTATATTTTATTAACTTGTAGTATAGGTCAAAGTATTTTTCTTTATCAATTTTCTTCCACTTTGTCATTTAATTGTTGTAATTCTTTAAGTAGTTCTTTGGTTCTTTTGGTAATTAATTCTTTTACCTTTTTATTCTTTTCAAGATGTTTGACTTCTTTTTCTGATAATTGTGCTTGTATTTCTTTGTTATTTTTAAAGAAGTAAGTTTCCCCTTCTAATGAATATAAATTCCTTACAACATTGAGAATATGAGTTGTTATTGATTCTAATTCATCTAATATAAAATAAACTTCTCTTTGGGCTACCAGGTCTTAGATTTTTTCTTGAATTCTGTCAAGTACTGTTCCTAATTGTGATTGTATGATATTTAACTTGTTTATATATTGTCTTTATATTTTGGATAATTCATAATTAAATATGATTTTTTCAGCTATATCTATTAATGGTGACAGTTGTTTCACAGCTTGTAATAGTATTAGAATTATTCCTATTCAATTGTTATTTGTAGGTTGGATTTTTCTTTGGAGTTTTTCAATAGTTACAATTATATCGTTGATTATTTGTTCTTGGTCAAGTATTTCTTTTACTAGATCAAATTTTGATTATCTATGTAAAAGGTTCCAAATAAATTTAAATTTCTTTTGTTGTATTATTCTTTCTAGTCTTCAATATGTGTTTGTATTACTGCTCATTAAGTTCTTTTGAATATTCTTTTCTTTTAAGTGAACGGTATTCAAATATTTCAATTTCGTTGTCTATTTCTTGTATATTTTTAGTTCTATTTCCTTGGTATATTATTAAAATGCTATTGATATTAAGATGTTGTTTTCTTGCAATGCTTTGAGTCTTTGTTCAAGATTCTTGCCAGTTAGTTTTTCTAGATTATTTTTAATTTCTTTCAAAGCTTCTAAGTATGTTTCTTCTTCAGCTTCTTTTTGTTCTTCAGGTATTTCTTAGTATTGGTTGAATGTTTGTTCTAAGCTAATTGTTCTTGATACTAATAGCATTACTCTGTTAATTTCATCTAGTACTGATATTAGACAGTAGTTTTTATTTGTTCCTTCTTTTAATTATACACAGGAGTATTTGCCGTTTAAGTTTTAGATTTGTTTTACTATTTGTTGATATGTTAGGTCTATTAATAAGTCTAATTGGATGATTATT